GTTGGCCCCAAGTCTGGTCTTTCCTTAGTTTCAGATGAGTTGAAAAGTAGATTTTTTTTTGTTGTGTTTTTAAACATTGTCATCTTTCTATGATAAGAAATTAGATCCATTTTTAATAATGTTAGTAATTCCAAAACAAAAATATCTCATTATTTTGGGGAGAAAATGGATTTTAATTATTTGATTTTTGCATGCCACTTCTAAAAAAATTTTTTTTAACTTTATTTATTAATATTACTATTTTTGTTTTACATTCTATGATGATGTTACAGAGCAGTTGAGGGAGAGGGGAAGAGGGGAAAGAAGAAAGAAATAGGGTGGGAAAAGGAGGAAGGAGGAGGTGTGGGGTTGAGGCCTGTGGCAACCCCCTCATTCCTGCATGGGGGACTGGGGGGGGTTCCAGTGGTGGCTTGGTCATTGCTGGGCTGGGTGAAGATGTCAGAGAGGTGTGGCCGTAGCCCTCAACCCCACACTGCTCCAGCTCAGGATCCCGGGGCACTTCCTGCAGTGCCTCGGTGGTCATCACTGGGCTGGTTGTGGGTGTTGGGGGAGCGTGGACAAGGCCCTTGTCCCCCCACCACCCCAGCTTGGGAGAGCCCAGGGCACTTCTTGTAGTGAATGTCATATGTTTAAACATAATTACAAATGTTGATGATCCTCCCAAGTAAAGTCCAAGCACAAAATGCACCTTCTAGTTATTGGTGGTAACAACCATTTATCATATAAGTCATCTCATTACCATCAGGTGGCCAAGAAAGAGAGTTGAGTAACATACTGAGTTTTGTATAATTAATTTCAGCAAGCATATGTTCTTAAAATTTCACATTTTGAAAGTAAATCCAACTTCCCCGTCACCACTATGGAGACATCATCATTTGAAACTCCAGACAATAATGTTCTTTATTTTAACAACCTCAGAAAACAAATTCATTGTGGAAATTTGGGGAAAAAAGAAAATTGTAGAGAAGAAAATAAAAATCACCCATAATCCTATTACTCAGAAATAATGTCATTAATATTATTTGTCTTTCTTTCCAGACTTATGTTCTGTGGAACGTTTCCCTTTGCAGAGGAGGTTATGCTGTATATTTAGTTACTTATATAGCATAATCACACTTGTGTAGTATTCCATTGAAATAAACACCACAATTTAGCCATATATTTAGACATATTTTATATTCCCAGTGTCTCAGCTTCATCTAGTCATAGTAATATCATAGTAATCACTTATTTGCAGGCAGATGTCTGCAGAATAAGTAAATTTATCAAGCTGATGTTGAGGAGTCTGAAAATCAAACACACAAAGGATTGTGATGGGTGCTTTAGGAACAATAAGAACCTTTTAATATAATATCATTTTGTTACATAATATTTAAAATTACTTAAATAATTATAGTCTGTCCATTAGTGTGGTGATATAAATCTAGTGATATGCCACCTTTCTACTAGAATTAAATTTGTTTTTACCATTTCTTCTATTTTAGCATACTATCAGCAATAGAAATTGAGTTGACTGAAGAAAAATCTGTAGGATGTGAATGTTGACAAGTGACTTCCAGAAAACTTCAAAATATAGAGCACATATCAAGTTAGATCTAAGAAACTTTGTAACTCCATCAGCCTATTCTGGGTTATGCTTCCACATAGGACGGAAGACAAAGAGTAAAATTAGAAGTCCTAGAAATATGATATCAACAATGTCTTGCCTGTTCCCACTTCGTTATGAGGCTCCATGCCTCTACAAAAGTTCACTGTGTTGCTTCAAAGCTATTTAGACTACTGATTAATAGCTATCTCAGACAGATTAGGCTAGTCCAGGCTGCAGTGTACCAAATCCCCAAACCTCAGTGGCCTAAAACTGCAAATGCTTCTTTCTTACTCATACCATATGTCCGTCACGAGTGAGATTCAGATCTGATCCATTTTGTCTTCACACCAGGACCCAGACTGAAGGAGCAGCCACTCTCTGAGACTGGCTGGTCTCAAGGCAGAGGGAAAAGTGAGAAAAACAAACCATGCTCTTCAATGGCTTTTAAAGCTGCCAGTTGGAAGAGTCCCATTTCCCTTTTCCTATATTCCACTGGTTGAAGCCAGTCCTGAGACGAAGCCTGATGTCTATTAGATGCCAATGAGCAGGGCAAGTATGTCTTTCTTCAGGCAGGGAACCACAGGTCCCATGGCCCAGCCTAACAACCAAGACAGTGAGGAAGAGAAGCACAGTCTTCCCACAGGCCAAGGGAATTAAACATAGCTGGTTTGAATCCACATAATACCTCTCACCAGTTATGTATATTATCAAGTTTTTAAAAATTTTTAATTGTAGTAAAGTATACATAACATAAAATTTACCATCTTAGCCATTTTAAAATTTACAGTTCATTAGTGTTAAATACATTGTGGTGCAACAGATCTCCAGAACTCTTTTCATCTTGCGAAACTGAAACTTTATACCCATTAAACAATTCTCCATTCCTCCCTCTGCCAGCCTCTGGCAACCACCGTTCCACTTTCTGTCTCTATGAATTTTACTCTGGATATCTTACATAAGTGGGATCATGTAGTATTTGCCTCTATATGACTGGCTTATTTCTCTTAGCATAATGTCCTCAAGGTTTATCCATGTTAGAGCATGTATCAGAATTTCATTCCTTCTTAAGGTTGAATAACATTTCATTGTATGTATATACCACATTTTGTTCATTTATTTATGTGTTAATGGACAATTAGGTTGCTTCCACACTTTGGCTATTGTGAATAATGCTAAGAACATGGGTGTACAATCTTTTTTTTTTTTTAACTTTCTGGGTCCAGATGACCTACGTACAGAAATGGGAACTAATGCAGTGCAATGTAATGAGGACTAAGTAAGTTATGTAAGAGCACATTCAGCAGTGCCTAACACATTATAGATGTTTACTAAGCATTAGTTACTAACAATAACAAAATTTTGAACATGGAAGAATGTTTATTTGTTCCAGAATTTCCCAGATGGTGTTATTCTTACCAGTGGTAGGAACAGAGATGATTTCAAGGTGGTTCACAAACATTTCTTAAAGTTTTAAATGAAGCATTGGCTTCATTTACTTTAGATAGTACCCAAATAATATAACTGGCATATCAAGCTCATTATTGCATGGATATTATTTAGGGTAAAGCTAAAATAGATGTTTATGTTTTTAAAAAATTGAGTGAATTTTTTTAAAATAGAAAAAATGACAAAAATGGTACATGGCTCAGGAAACACTGATATGATTCATAAAAAGCAGGCAGACCTGGAACAAACCTTCTATTTTTCCTTCCTTTCCCTTTTCCTATTTTTTTTTTCTTTTTGTCATTTCAAAAAGTATTCATTTGCGGCTGAACTCATTCAACTCATCTATTTTTGGATTCATGCAAGATAAACCACAGTGTTATATTTGCAGTCATGTCTTCTTCAAGAGGATTAGGTGATTCAAGCAAAATTACTCAAACTTTCTGTGACCTCCAAGCATACATCTTTTGGCAGGACAAACCATGCTGAAGTACGTTATCTGAGCTGCATCAACTCAAACCTGTCCTTTTATAGCGCTGTAGGCCTTAGGCAATCACAGGAGATGTTCTAACATTTGTGCATTCATACCATTTGGATTGAGTGACCAGAACATGGTCATTAGTACTTCAACCATAAGCAACAGCCATTATATGCTTTTTTGCTGTTAAAGCATTGCAGCTTGGACAATCTTAGCTGACCTAAACTTGTTGTTAATACCAGACCACAGAATTTTAAAGGCAACATAGAATAGTGTTAAGGAGCAGACACTAAAGAAAAGAATCTGTGGGGAAAACAGTCTTGTTTGTGTCATTAGTCATGTAAATGTATCTGAGAGTTCTTCCCATCTGTAAGTCCAGCTGTATTTCTCTCATGGCATAAGTCAGTGATGTTTAGAAGATTCTCTGGATAGCTCATCTTTCATATCATTTTCCCATTACAAATTCAGTTAACCAAATCACATTCTGTGGTTAAATCTACAAGTACAACATATTTCAGCACTGTTTGGGGCAATTATGATGCTGTTGCCAAATTAATAGTATTATGTTTGTTGTTTTGTGATTGACAAGAAAATGAATTTTCAGTGTCCCATTTGTCTGCATTACTATTGATAAATGCTTTGACGAACCCCACAATTAATAGTATTATGTTTGTTGTTTTGTGATTGACAAGAAAATGAATTTTCAGTGTCCCATCTGTCTGCATTACTATTGATAAATGCTTTGACGAACCCCACCCCTTGACCTTATCCCACTCTGCAGCATGTTTACTATTCAGTGTTCATGAGAAAGGACTAAACTATGAATCCAGGTTTATAAACCTCAGAGTTTCATTAATTCTCTAATAGAATTATTGTTAAATTTTTAGGGTATTGCATTATTTTTTTTTTTCAAAAATTGATTTAAACTTGGAAAATGAAGACTTTAAAATATAGGCTCTGTTGCAATTTGTCATGCGTGTAGTTATTACTTCATGGGAATAAATCTAAGTAATCTTATTTTTGAGTGCCTCCTATTTTGCCTATCTCATCATACAAGGCTGGCTTAAAAATTATCCACACTCTATTTCATGTGACTTTAATCTGCTTATTTGGCAATTTCTCTCAGCCTCTGCATGTGTCAAAACAGGTCCCACTGTCTGCCTTTCTTGGCTCATCAACAAACATCCCTCTAGTGGTGGATAAAGGAATTTCCTTATCTCCACTATTGACGTTTTCCAGGAGACATAAATGCAGTTAAGTGTGAGATGTCCTGAAGTATACGATGAAGACGATAAAATAAATAATCTCACATTTAATTTAAATGCCTTTTTAAAGGGAAATTTAGCTATTGCATTTTTTTTTTTTCTTATTCCCTCTATACCCCATGCATTACCGAAGAGATATACTGCTGTACTTCCACCAACCTCCCATGATGGTCATGTGTCTGCTCCATATTCAAATCTGTTTTAATTTCTCATTTTTCATTTCAAGCTCCCAGTCAGCCACCAGGAAATGTTGTTTGGAATGCTACAGAAACTAAAGTGTTACTTAATTGGGAACAAGTTAAAGCAATGGAGAATGAATCAGAAGTAACAGGATATAAAGTAAGTTGTATCATTTGCAATGCTGTATTTTCCTACTTTTGTAGTACTTTCCAAGGGAAGCTAGTTTTAAATGAATTTTGCCAACTGTTGATACGGTTTCTGTAATCTAATTTTGACACAGATATCAAGCTTTTCACAACAAGGATATTTTTCCAAAATGTCTGATCTCTTATATATAGATTTAGATGAAATAATTCTGCTCATATGGAAACTTTAGACACAATGGTTTAAATTGTGTCTTCCTCAGTTTGTTACTTCTGATGCTCACCCATACACTACTTAAAAATCAGGTGAGAGTATAGGCTGATTCTTTGGTCAGGCTCTCCAGATTTATCCATATAGGTAGATCTCTCTCTCTCTCGCCTCAGAAATATCCAACCTAGCTGAGCTTTTCCATGGAATAAGTTCACCCTTCCCCCACCTCCTTGATTTTGAGTACCTGATGATTCTACTATGTGCTAATCCCTAATCTAAGGCTTATGGATGGAGTTGTGAGTGCGATTTATGTTCTTGTCAGTATAGAAAGATAAACAAAGTAAAGTAATTACAGAGTGAAAAGTTCTGTGCAGAAAATAAAAGCAGCCAATATAAGTAGTATTTGTTCATGTATTTTAGGTTTTCTATAGGACTAGCAGTCAAAATAATGTGCATGTGCTGAACACAAATAGAACTTCAGCTGAACTTGTGCTACCCATTAAAGAGGACTACATCATTGAAGTTAAGGCCACAACGGACGGAGGAGATGGGACCAGCAGTGAACAGATCAGGATTCCAAGAATAACCAGTAAGTTGGTTGAAGTCATTATTTCCTTTATTTGCACCAGTGTTATTAGCCCCTGGTAGTGAGTTGGTCGGTGTCCCCCTACCCTGTCCATTCTTTTTTTCCCCAGCATGCCTTTCATCTGAATGCTGAGAAGGTTTTGCAATGTGAGAGATAAGGGCAGAAGGAATTCCTCAAGAGTGGTGCGATGCAGGGAGAAGGATAAGGATACAAAGAAAGGACATCAAAAAAATTGAACAAAACTTTATTAATTTGAGTTTTTTCCTCATTCTGAGCTATGCCTATACTTGCTTTTGGATTGTCTATAAAAACAGAATTCCCTAAGCATTTCTCAAGGGCAATGTGGAAGGCACACACTGTTTTTAAGGTCGTTGATATGCCAGTTGTTTGCCTCCTGCAAATTATAGATAGATCTTATCAATTCTCTAAATAGAAAAGTTAACATTGTTAGGATTTAAACCACTTATGTGTGCCAAACCAAAAGACACCTTTAAAAAAATTTCTCTTCCTAATTTCAAAGGAGGTTCACACTCTTTCAAAATCCAAATGAAACCTATTTAACTATAGAAATTGCACTTCTAGAGTTAAGGGAAGCAGACTTTGGCATACCTATTTACCAGTGACGATGGTAGAAGAAATTTTATCTTTGCTTCTAAATCCCACATCTGGAGTTTTCAGCCCTCAATTTAAGTACTGTAGAGCCCATTTTATCTTCATATTCTATTTTGCAATTCTCAGTGATGTAAGTAACTTTTTCCCTGTTTGCATTTATTGAGCTTGGTCTACTCTATGGTATCAGGCAACCAAGATTAAAACTTTTGTCTTTAATCTTGAAAAACAAAATGACTGACATTAGCAACTGAAGAGAAAGGGAGATATGAAAACTTTGAGGACTTTTATCTTTCTGTCATAAAGACTGTCATACTTAGACCAAAATGAACAAACTAAGCTATACTAAGAAAATGGGAATTACTTATCTCAGAACTGAGTTCTGCAATGTAAAAATCTGTAAAAACCATTTTGGACTACAGACATTTCTAAAACTGTATGCTCTTCAATAGAGCAAAACCAGGAATTAAATGCACTATTATTAATTTAGATTTCAAAATAATTAACACACGCTTTTTGTTTCCTGAATAGTGCGAAGTATAGAGTTAACATTACAATATGGACAAAGTGGCACTGTAAAAAGAAGTAGATTCTATGCTTTTTCAGGTCAGCCATTATTTTAGCATTTTAGGGCTGCTGAGTCAAGAATAGCCTTTTCATCTGACATCTGCCATCTTGCTGAGCTTGCATAGACTAGTGACCACACAAGGCTGTCTCTATGAAAGACACCTTTAAAAAAATATATGTGCCAAACCAAAAGCCACCTTTAAAAAGAATCTTATTGATTCCTTTTTTAAAGGTGATTTTTATATTATGTGTAATAATTTTATCTGGAAATGCATAAAGTAGAAACTAGCACAGATTTTCTAAACCCTTATTCAATGAAGCTTTCTTCAATTAAACTGTTGAATTATCTCAAAATTGTTTGTGATCAAGTATAATTGTTTTCAGAATGGTTAAATTATTTTTCCAATTTCAAGTACAGTTAAATAATGCTAGATAAACAAAGCCTGGAATCATTTAAGAAAACTTAAATACATCAATTTTTTTATAGACACTCTTGGCAACTCGTGTACGTTACATTGATAAATAAAATGAAGGCTAATAATAAGAATTTGTGATGCCGTGATTTGATTTTGTCAGGAAAGGCATTGCTTTTGCCCCCTTGTCTTAGTCCCTTCAAGTTGCTGTATGCTAGATAAACAAAGCCTGGAATCATTTAAGAAAACTTAAATACATCAATTTTTTTATAGATACTCTTGGCAACTCGTGTACGTTACATTGATAAATAAAATGAAGGCTAATAATAAGAATTTGTGATGCCATGATTTGATTTTGTCAGGAAAGGCATTGCTTTTGCCCCCTTGTCTTAGTCCCTTCAAGTTGCTGTAATGAAATTCCATAGACTTGGCAGCTTGTAAACAACAGAAGTTTATTTCTCACAGTTCAGGAGGCTGGGAAGTCCATGATCAAGGTGCCACCAAATGTAGTGTTACCTCTCAAAGGTCCCCCCTCCTTATACCATCACATTGGGTTTAGGATTTCAACATATGAACTTGGTGGGGGGATACAAACATTCAGTCTCTGGTACTTTGAATACATATTGGCACAATCCTTGTTAATGAGCTGTTTATCATCTTTGATAGATATGGATGCAAGAGGATCCACTTCAGCCACCTTGAATGTCCACCCTGTGTCGAGTTACGTACCTGTAGTACTGTTCTTTATTGTAAATACCCTGTGGTGATATTAATGCTTTTTTATTGTTTACTGGAAAGTTAATTGGTTACCAAAAAAAAGTGCTTTCATGAAATGCAGTGATTATGCATGTTTTTTTCAACTCTTTATTTTTTACTTTTTACTTCATTATAGGTAAAATATGAATATAATAAAAATTGTAAATCCTTTTAGGGGAATCTGAAATGCCTTAATATTTACTTGATAAACCAAAGGAATTTACATATTACATACTTTTTTGATATAAATGTTCTTAAGCTATGAGTTTAAGCACGGCCTATGGATAAAGACTCACAAACTCCCACTTGTACACACACACATACAATTTTGTGAGTTTTTTTATATTGAGAAACTCATTTAATCTAAATGCTATTTTCTCATCATAACAGCATTATTTATAAAACTCAATCAGTATCATTCTGAAATGTTGACTTAAATCTCCAAGGGTAAAAAATGCATTTTAAAAATTACCCTGTTGGAAGGTGGTGGCATATGATTCAAAAGTGTGTTGGAAAATGCTACTCTGCAGCTTAGAAGAGTGATGTTTGGTTCAGTATACTACTAAATGGTTATGGGACTTTAGAAATCAGTTTGCTCTTTGTACTTCTCGATTATACATCCATAAAATGTGTGAAGATAATCATATCCACCTGATCTGCCTCTTCTCTATGAATTAGTTGGTAAAAGATAAAGAAGGAAATGTGAACATGCTTTGTCACCCCAAATGCAATGGACCTGTGCAAAATGTCAGCATGAATTTCCTTAGGCGTAGAAAAGTCACGAGGACCATCCACATTTCAGGCTTGCATTCCACGCTCTAGATAATGCTTTCTGTTTCATTCAATGCTATAAAATTGAAATGATCACGTTATCCTTTCTCAAAAATTAAAACAAAATGAAAAAAGGAATTGTTTCCTTCACACCTATGAACAAGCTTTCAAGTTTTATTAAAATCTGGTGTAGGGCTGACTCGTTAGTTCAGTTGGTTGGAGCATGGTGTTACGGTGTTATAACAACAGGGTCAAGGGTTTGGATCCTCATACTGGCCAATTGCCAAAAAAAAAAAAAAGAGTAAAAATAAATAAATAAATAATTTTAAAAATAAAAAATAAAACCTGGTGGAGAAAATGAGGAATGATATGAATCTCAACCCAAATACTGCAGAAAACCCACACAATCCTTCAATTCCAATTTCTGATTCCATTAAGGGACCCTCTCTTTTTTTGGATGGCAGAGATGGTTTTTTTAATGAAATCCCACTGTCTCTCTGAGTGAGTCTGGCAGGCTTTTTAGTTCCAGAGTTAAATTTGTAACAGAACCACGGCAATGCTGCTGACTTTGATATGTATTACTCAGTCTTTCAATATGTGGTTTTCAAAGGATTGTTGAATACATGACTTCATAGCAATATGTAAAGAATATATGAACATCGGCAGGTTTAGTGTTCTATATTGCAAAATCAATTTTTTACCTCTTTCCTACCAACTTCATATTTTGCAGGAACTTGTTCTTATTTCCAAAGGTATCAGAATTTGAAACCAACAGTTCAGATATGAAGAAAGACTAAACATTAGAAAAATTCTGATATCCAGGGCTGGCCCGTGGCTCACTCGGGAGAGTGTGGTGCTGATAACACCAAGGCCGCGGATTCGGATCCTATATAAGGATGGCCGGTTAGCTCACTGGCTGAGCGTGGTGCTGAAAACACCAAGCCAAGGGTTAGGATCCCCTTACCGGTCATTTAAAAAAAAAAAGAAAGAAAGAAAGAAAAATTCTGATATCCCCATGAAGTACTACTTTACAGTTAGTGATTGCATTTAGAATAAAGTCATTTACACCAGGGATCAAATATTTATAACTTTCTCTGTGAGGTCTGTATATATTGTATATATCTAGAAAAAGTCTGAATGACTAGTAAATTTCATATGACCATTGTTATTTCCAGTCAAAAAATGGGGAAACACTTTCTCCGATACTTGTATTTTATGCTACATGTAATGGGATTGTACCTTTTTATTATTTAGTAATTCCTATAATATGTTCCTATGCTTTTCATTTTCAAGATGATTATTGTTTCATGTCATTTCTAGCAATATATCTCCATGAGATATGTACTTTGTTTCATATTGAAAAGTATAAAATTTATCTTTAAATTCCTGTGTGTGTATCCTATGGTTATTTGTATGTATTATTTTCTATTATTCTAATAAAATTTATAATAATCAAATGCTGGTGCATTATTAACTGTGGTGTGGTTGAAGAACGTCTACAGGGAAGTAGGCAGGCACCATTACAGATGTGCCGATGATATTTCTTATATTTTTCAACCAACATTTAGCTTTTCTGTCTTTTAACAGGATATTTTAAAATTATTTTTATACCCTAATGACTCAGTAAAATCAGCAATTTGAGACAATGACCTCTCTATTAAAGGTACTTCAGCTGTGGGGAGAAGGGGAAGAAAGGAGAGGCAGAATTCACTTTATAGGAGTATGTTACCTAATTTCTTCTGATTTTATTTGGTCAGAAGTGGCTACTCCCGCATTTTTGACAAGTTCTTAAAATTAGTATCGACTTGTCAAGCTCTTCATTGACTTTCTCTTTGGTATTAGTGTTAAACACTGGCTTTTAAATGATCACTGTGGTATAACCTTCCAAATATTTGAAAAAATATACTAGATAGGTTTTAAAAACCTAAAAGATTAGGTTTTAATTAGTAAGCAGTTTTAAATGTTACTGTTGATGGAAGAAAAATGAGAGCTAAAGTAATAATTTGATTATTTTCTTCCATGAGAATTGAAAGATTTGTTTCAAGGCAGGAAAAGTCTGTGCAGGGGTTGTGTCTGGGTGTGAGTGTATGTGTGTGTGTGTGACTGAGTGCAGTTGTAATGGGTGCATTATTATACCCGATAAAGGAGAAAGACCTGGAGAATATGCAGAAACAGATTAGACAACTGAAACAGTCCTAAAGTCCTCTTTCCTGAAGCCAGGGCTGATTGACATGACAGAATCAGGCCTTCACCAATTTCTGACCATGTGGTCCTGCTCAAGTGTCACAGCTTCTCTAAGCCCCAGTTTCCCTCCCTGCAGAATGGGGAACCAGTAGTTTTATCCTCTTACCCTTGTCAGATCTTCAGCAAATGCTAAACTCCTCTGTGGTGAAGTGTCCTCTTTAGTGAACTGAAGTGTGGGCGTTAGTAAATAAAGTGACGTGTGAGTGTGTAGAGCACGCTCTTATCAGTCATCCCATCAATAGTCAAGTAAACCACATTGGAAGACCAAAGACATCCTTCTGTAGGTGGTTTTGCTTTAATATTTTTATTTTTTTTTTATTTATTTTTTTTATTTTGTTAAATTTTTATTTTGTCAATATACACTGTATATGATTATTATGGCCCTATTTATTTTTTTTATTTTGTTAAATTTTTATTTTGTCAATATACACTGTATATGATTATTATGGCCCATCACCGACACCTCCCTCCCTCCTCCCTCTCTCCCCTCCCCCCCAAGAATGTCCTTTCCGTTTGCTTGTTGTAACAACTTCATGAAAGTATAGTTGCTTTAATATTTTTAGAGCTCCACTTTGATCTCATTCTACTGAGAAGAAAGCTATGATTTTTAAGAGTTCCTAGAAGCTCTGGTAAAGTGATTCTGGGATCAGATTTTTTTCATAGAAATATAACATTCATAATGTTAACATACGTTTACTCTCCATATGCCAGACGGAGTTAAGCACTTTACGTTTGCTAAATTAAAGCTTCACAATAATCTCATTAGTTAGAGTCTACTATCAAGCCCATTTTACAGAAGAGGAAATTGAGGCTTGGAAGATTAAGTAACAAGGTCCTCCTAACAAGGAGTGTAGTAAAATGGGATTCTTGAAATCAGATCCATCAGATTTAGGGATTCTGAGTAAGCATCACTAGAATGAGTTTGTAGTTTACTTTGTTCTGCCTCTATTATTGATCATAATTCAAACGGTGGGCTGAACACCTGGGAATCCCTCTTTTAACTATTATAGATTTTGCTATTTTCTAATTCTTTCAGGGAAAACTATTCAAGCTAAAACTAACCCAGATTCAGAATTCTTTAAGTAAAAATTATTACAATATTTTAATTTTCATTATATATTTTCTTTACTAATTTTTTAAAGATGGTTTGTTTTGATTTTAATAATTTCATCATTTTCACTGAAAACCAAACAGTATAATTCAAAATGCAAAATAATTAGGATGTTACAAGTTCTTTTTTTCCAATTAAAAACCCCCCTGCAATTTCATATTCTTATAATGCCAGCTTTTTTATATTTGAAATTAATCTTAATTGGGTTCATTTTTTCTCAAGTATTTTACCCTTTTTAAACATGAAAATTGCACTATTTGTTATAATTTGGATATACTTCAGTAAATATTGGAGGTAAAAAAAAAAACCCCACAGCCGTAATTACGAAATCAGCAATTAGTAAATTGTTTCATTCTTTTGAAAGAAAATATGTAAACAGATTGGAATATGGTTCACTTAAATTGCTAGGCTTTTCTGTTGTTTTTATTTGCACCCAGAGCCCTAATTTAACATGTCTTGCTTTACATATAGGTGATAATTACCTCTTGAACTTGCATGGAGAATTAGTGCACTGATAGAGAAATAAACTTGTAAGAAAAGAATGCTTCTGTTGTTAGTCTTCGTTTTTATTCTTTACTCCTACTCTGCCTGTTGAAATTATCTTAGAGCCTGATGATTGTACCTTGATCATTAAAACTGTGGGGAAGAGAAAGAATTATATCCCGTGTAACTGCATATTATCCAGAAAAATTCAGAGAAAACAGAGACAAAGGATAAGGATGGCAAATTAGCATGTTTACTTCGGCATCAGACTGTAGAATGTGACACACACGATGCATATTATCCAGAAAAATTCAGAGAAAACAGAGACAAACGATAAGGATGGCAAATTAGCATGTTTACTTCGGCATCAGACTGTAGAATGTGACACACACGAAGCTAATATAAAGTGCATATCTAGACTGGCTGATGAGGAAGTAAAATGTCCATTCAATGTGATTGTTGTATTGG